GGACCATCCGGTGCCGGGTGGTTAAAACGAGCAACTATCGTTGCCACCTCGTCAAGGCCTATGCCCACAACCACCAACTGCTTCGACTACTATGATTTCAAAGTTCTTCCGATCTTTCGTTTTTGGTAATTTTAAGAAGGGATCCAAGCTGGACCTTCATTCACTTATGTACCCATTTACACTTTATGGCTTGTTCAAGTCAAGTTACTTATTAGAAATTGTCGTATAATCAAGTCTTTCTGGCTTCTTTCAATACATTATTTCCAGATTTCATCAGATGCCTGAAGTTCCCGGATCGGCAGGTAAATTGGTGCTTATTCAGATCCTCCTTTTTGAATGCTGAAACATATCGCCGATTCGAGAAGAACTGTTAACTTATCATAATCATGCTTCAGTCATCGGCCTCGGTGAGTAGGGAATCCCGTCTCGTCAAATAAACAAACAGAATGTACCATCAAGACTGCGAGGCGAAATAGTCTATCATCCAGCTTCCTTTGAAGTCCCCTATCAGGAGTGTCTTAACTGTTCGGGTCCTTTCACCTTTTGTGCATAACTCAAAGGCCTTTGAGTGAATGTGAAATATGTTTTCTATAGTAATCGACAACGTTACTTATATTCGTATTAAAGTAGGGTTTCGAGACTACCAGTAAATCAGTGTGATGAGATGTATTCACCCTATTTCGTCTAAGGTGATGAAGGACTGGTAGTAGAATTTTCCCACAATCATATGAGTTGAACTGACGTTTTCCATTGAATTTCACATAGCCTTGCTTTTACTAAAAGTTGTCCAGGCACCAGTGGACTGCAGTTTCGACCTCGCATTGGTCTTATCAACACCCTCAGCGGGATTCGAACCGCGAAAGTGCAGTACGGTAGGTACCTGCAGTTTCGACCTCGCATTGGTCTTATCAACACCCTCAGCGGGATTCGAACCGCGACAGTGCAGGATGAGAGCTTGACACGCTAACCACTCGGCTACACTGCCACGAGTTCCCTTGAGTCACAGGGCATAAGTGAGTTTCAAGGAGGGTCAGGCCTCTGTTATATCATATTCTTTGTGGTGGGATTGCCGATAAAGCAAACGTATGTTTGCTGTAACAATCGACTACATTACTTATTAGACGAAATAGGGTGAATACATCTCATTACACTGATTTACTGGTAGTCTAGAAACCCTACTAACTTACGAATATAAGTAATGTTGTCGATTGCTATGGCAAACATACGTTTGCTTCATCGGCAATCCCACCAAAGAATATGATGTAGCAGAGGCCTGACCCTTCTTGAAACTCACTTATGCCCTGAGACTTAAGAGTACTCGTGGCAGTGTAGCCG